ATGGTAGTTCTATTTGTAGATCTTTGAGGAACCTCCATATTGTTCTCCACAGTGGTTGAACTAGTTTACATTCCCACCAACAGTGTAGGAGGGTTCCCTTTTCACCACATCCCCGCCAACACTTATCACTTTTGGCCAACAGTTGTCCAACAATAATCATTTGAATCTGTATGAAGGAGTGATACAGAAACAAGTTCTGTTAAAATAGCTTAAAAAGGGAAATAAAAGATAGAAGTAGATGAGTTGTGCTGGAATGTGTGTCAAAAAATCAAATATCCGTTCAGTCTTACAATAACTTAGTAGTGTTTGACTCCAGGACAACTACTTCATTATGGGATAAAAGGTATTGTCTTTTATCCTCCTAGTAATGGAACATTTTATTCTATTAAATTCTCAATAAAATTGTGACCAGGTATTTTATAGCAGAAATTATGTTCTCTTCCCTGACAACTCATTAAATCAGTAAGAGGAAAATCAAAATCAAACTTTAGATGTTCTCTTTAGATGATTATTAAGTTTTTTTTAGGTTTTTGTCATAAAGAGCATGCACTTGCCTGAGAGAGACAGAAAGGGGCAGTGGCCATGCCACTGCTTGTCCCTCTCTGGATTGCGTTAACATGAAAGAAAGAGGACAGCACAAAACTAGCATTTATATAGACAACACACAGATACAAAATAGTTACTAGGGCCAGCCGGATGGTGTGGTGGTTAAGGCAGCTGGATCCCACAAGGCTGGCCAAGTTCAAGCCCTGAACCTAGATGCTTGAAAAACACACCAAAGCATGTCTGTGTTCATGCCAAAAATCCTGAGAAGAGAATGGGGGAGAGAGGATTGTGGTGTGGTTACCTCCTTGAGGAAGTGCTTTCTCACTTCACCTCTTTCGCTTTCTCTCTTTCTCTCTCCAGTAAGCATATACACTCTACAGCAATTACAAAAAAAAATTGATTTCTTTTATTGAGCAAGTAAGTAACATTGGAATAGAAGCGTTTCAGTCATAAAACATGATAATTCATAATCCATGCTTACCATTTTCCTTCAAAAATCACATTGAAAAACACCTTCACCTCTATTTGATTTGACAAGTTTTAGCCTTTGTGCAAATTTAGTCATCTTAAAATTTCTCAAGCTTCTTTACCTTTCTGTCTTTATGTAGTTTACAGATACCTCAAATCTAGTATCTCTCTCATGTTTTATTCATTCATGTGTTCTATAATTAATTATGGAGCATATCTATGAGTGAAGAACCCTAGTATGTCATGGAAATATATAGTGAATAAAAAGAGATATGCACCCAGAGTGAAAGTCCATTTGGTCTGCTTAAACAAAATTGGGTAGCTTATAAACAAACATATATTTATCACAGTTCTGGAGACTGAGAAGTCCAAGATCAAGGTGCCAGCAGACTTAGGGGCTGGTAAGTGCCCACCTACAGGTTCACGTCTTTCCTTTGTGTCTTCAGATAGAGAAAAAGCTAATGGCTCTCTCTTGGGAGCCTTTTATAGGGATAATAATTCCATTCACAACGGGTCTGCTACTATGACCCAATCACCTCCCAAGGCCCTACCTCTTAGTACCATCACCTTGTCAAAGAGGAGTTCAACTTATGAATTTTAGTAGGACCCAAACATTCAGTTCTAAACATTGACACATACATATACACACAAACTCACACTTTCATGAAGCTCATATTACAATCTGGCATTTTTAAAACTGTCATACATATGGGGCTGGCAGTTGGTATTATAGTTAAGGGCACTAGACTCACACATAACCGACTACAATTCGAGTCCCAGATCTGGCGGCTTGCTTTCTCACTTTCTCTCTCTCTTTCTCTCCATTTCTCTCTCACACCCTCTCTGTCTGGTCAAATTTAAATAAATAAATAAATGGATACATAAAGTTGAATAAAATAATTCTTGAAAACAATACCTGTCACATATATAAGAATTAACTTGAGTGAGCAGCAATAATGGCATGGTGGCAATGCGCTGCTCAGGAAGACCCGAATCTCTCAAAGTGATCACAGGTCAAATCCCTGACCTGGTTGCCCTGAGAAATGACAGACATGTATATGAGTATCTAGGATCTGATGGGCTGGAGGAATGCATTACAATTACTATTGTCAGATACATATTTTTATTATCCATAATATTCATTTTACTGAAATTCATTTTGTCAAAATATGAACACGGCCACTCAAACATTATGTTTAGTGATTTATAATTATATATAGGTATATATTTTTATCCTTTTATTGTATACTATTTTTGCTTTTATATTTGGCAGCATATCTGCAACATCATATAGTGTACTGTGTTGTTTTTTTCTTTTGGTTCAAACTGACAATCTCTTCCTCTGAATTGGAATGTTTATGTGCAAGGTATACACTGTCTTCTTTCAAATTATTTCAGGTTTAAGTCTGCTATCTTGCTGTTTACTAATATTTCTATCTTTTTGCCACTTTTCATTTTTCTTTGGTGTAGTATTTCATTTTATCCCCAGCTTATCTACTAGTAATATTTATTTTACTTTATTTTTTACTGGCTCTAATTACAACATGTATATATGTATCAGTGTATCTTCTCATGGCATTATTTCATGTCATATGTGATGTGAAACTAATACAATATAATCTCATTTCCTTTTCCCATCTTTGTACTATTTTCATTAATTTTACTTTTTCACATGTGATAAAGTTCACAATATGTATAGTTTTTGCTTCAGACAGTCAAATGCCCTCTAACAAAGCAAAAGAGAAATGAATTATACTTATCCATGCTTACCATTCATCGTAATTTTCACTTCTTTGTATACATCCAAATCTCCCACTAACATCACTATTGTTCTGAAAAATCTTTTGTAGTTTCTCTAGTCAATTTCAGCAGAGAATAATTTTGTCAGTTTGTGTTTATTCTAATGTATTTTACATTTATTTCTAAAAATTAATTCCACTGAATCTAGAAATTTATATACTCAGTTTCTATTGCTTTCAGTACTTGAAAATATTAACAGCTTATGTTTCTTTTAGTACTTGAAAATATTGTTCTGTCTCCAATTTGGTTTCTGAGAAAAAGTGTGCAGTTATTCTTATATCTGTTCAGCTATTTATAAAATGATATTGTTTCTCTGGACGCTTTTTAGATTGCTCATTGTCATTCATTTTCATGTATTTGGTGATTGTAGTTTTGGTATATTTTTTGAATGTTTACTCTTTTCGGTGTTTGTTGAGTCTCTTGGATCATTTTATTTATACTTTCATCAAAACTGGGCAGTTTCTTTTTATTGTTTTTTGGTTGTCTGTCATCACCCTCTCGCATCCCTCCCTTCTTGGAATGCCAAAGGCATATTAGACTCCCTGATACGGTGTCTTTTTAGCTAGCTTTTTCTGCATTGCCTAATTGAATGCCAATTGCATCTGACGATTTTTTAAATTTCAAATGTTACATTTGATCTCAATGCTTATATTTGGTTCTTTTATTCTCTCTTTTTTTTTCTTGCTATGCTCATGTCTTCCTTTATTTATTTATTTTTAAAGAGAGAGTTTTTTGCTGTAGGATTGCAGATGTGTGCCACCACACCCAGCCTGTTTAGTTTGGCCTGGGGTCCAAATTCGGTCTTCCCATGTGGCCCAGCGTTGCATAGCAGCTAATTACCACTTGTGCCACTGTGGCTGGACGTTTTTTTTTTTTTTTTTTTTTTTTTTCCCTTTTTGGAGGTTGGTTTTTTTTTTTT